AAAACCAAAAGGAAACATTTTTTTTTTTTTGCAAAAACAAACGACATATGGATATAAACTCATAGATCTTACCCTGCATTAAGAAGTTCGAATCGAACATATGTTGCATTATCCTCATAAGCATCGCTGTTTATCTCACAGAGATCACCCATCTTCAACACGGTTCTCATTACATCTATATCGAATACAAAAAAAAAGTGATATTAACAAAATGATACATTATACAAAAATTGTCACAAAACTAACAGATGGTTACCAATATTACCAATTAAAAACTCAAAATCTAATCCGCGAGTCACGATGTCAAAGAAGCGTGTGCAATTGAGATGCAAGTGTAAATTATGTGTTACTGGAGAGGTAGGAATCACGACCGTATGAGGTCCGAAAATAAACCGATGCCTGTTTACGGTTATGCATATCGAACCACTGGCCTTCTTAACAACGAATCGACGAACCCTAAACCAGTTACCTTGTTTAAGTACAGGTCCATGCAGAGCGATTTCATCGGGCATGACAGTTGCGCCGATACAATGACCCTAAGATCGACGATTTCGCATAAGTTCAAGTGTAAAATCCAAAAGAAAAATTGCTTTTAAAAACAACCCTATGAAATATATAAAGAAATAACAACTACATAACGAAATACCCGATCATCAGAGAGAATCATCTCAATTGTATCACCAAAGAAATTCACATTCTTCCAGAGTCGAACAACTTGCACACGAACTTCACCGCCGGTGGTGTAATAATCTAACCTAGAGATATCAACAGCATGAGACATTTTTTTTTCTCTATCAAGAACACAAAAGGAAAAGCAAAAAAAAAATAAGGAAAGAGAACACATATATATATACGCGTTACATTCTAGACAGTTATTTCCTTTTTCAACCCAATAAAATTATGGAAACATACAACATTGAATATGTATTATTAAAATAAAGATTAACTTATTTATAGGTTTTATTTTAAATGCCAACAACTGTCTGTCAAAGGCGTCCTTTCATCCGTTAATGTACTTTTTCGAGACATTAGCAGCATGCAATATGAGAGAATAAAATCTAATTGCATCTGATATACTAAGCATACACGCAACCGAGATAAGCGAGCATACCGAGTAAAAAATAATCAAAAAATACAATAGTTTCTTCAGTATACAATCATTACATCAAGCTAGGGAACATAATTTTACTGGACAATATTTGTATAAAGCCAAATAAACAGTTGGGGAGAAGGGTTACTTTGTTGATTATTTTTAACAATGTATATGAGAAAATGGGGATATATATAACACCCAAATAACGGTTATGGAAAGTGTCACGTGAATCAGTTCATTTTATGTATTCTTCAAAAGATAAATGTTCCATTTTTGGAAAGTTGCAACTTATGATGAATATTCTAGATAGATTATTGGTTAACAAAATTTATTTGTTAAAGGAAAATTCGAAATTTGGTTATAACACGAAATTTTTTGACCCAAATAGTCTTGTAAATACAAAAAAAAAAGTGTCTAACAAAACTAATAATATATATGGATTATCGATTTTGCATCATTCGGATCGGCCCAAATCATTAGACACATCTGTATCCAGCCCATATAACCTCTCTCTAATCCTGAAATTTCAATAACAAAACGATTTAGATCTAAATATACATATATTTTTTTTTTTTCATAAGTCAATTTAAACAACACATCGAAATATACTTACCTATTGCGCAAGGTCAAAACCTCATTAATAGGTGAATCAGTGATAAAACGGGACACACCATCATCATCATGATCCTTGATAGACACATTCTCTAAAACATATATATTGAAATATTGTTATGTTATATACAACGATTTTATAAATAACATATTGATGTATCATCAGAGAACATACCCCCGTCAATTGCTACACACCAATCGGTTAACACACATATAGCAAAGGGACCTTCGTATTCTCTACACTTATCTCTTATTTCAGTTGCCAACTCACCATGTGCAACACACTCTAGCATGTACTCCCTATATTTTGACAAAGAATGTAGTTAATAATTAATTAGCTAAACTTCAAAAATTTACAGTTTGGGATATACTTACTCATCATCTATTATATTAAATCGAATTGATGATGTAGTCGTCCCATCCGGGTATGTAATAGTAAAATATCTAGCATCTTCAACGACTCCAATCAAATCTGCGATTGTAATTAGTCAAAATTAAGACATTAGTGCGAACTATATATTTTGCATTATAAGAAGATACCAAAATAATCTTACCAATTAGATAATAATGAGCATCTGGGAATTCATAAATCGAGAGGAATGATGCAAAATTATAGAACGAATTATTTGTTAATGGTAAAGCTGGTGATATCGTTGTTCCCCGTGTAAGTGTAATAACGTAATCGTGTTTTGTAATACTTTGGATATTAGTCCAGTTGTAAGGATTTAAAAGAAATCCAGTCAACATAAATCATTGATCTTCTTCGCATATTTGATTGAAATGCTCCATCATCTGATTGTTTACCCGAGCCTGTATTCTACAAGCCTAGAAGTTTATACGATAACATTAGATCAACAAAAGAACAAATTATTTTATGTTAAAACAATAAGCAAAATCAATAATAATTATCACAAATAACATGTTAAGTTAATGAAATTTACTTTTTCATCGACCATAATGAAATTTAGACTTCGATTATCGTCCGAGTAATACACCACCCATTTTTTGAGTATTTTCACTATAATTCTCCAGTCAGACCTTTGAGAGTCCAATTGACGAACAAAATCATAATCCGCCATTGCGTGATGCCTATCGTTTAGGGTTATGCAATTTAGAGTATATTTATAAGAAAAAATGTGATTTTATATTAATATATAACCGAAATTTAAGAATATTAACATTTCAGGATAAATATAGATAAATAAACAATATTATCTTCGAGTAAAATAAATAGATATATATATATATATATATATTTAGATTGTTCTATTTTAAATTATGTTAATATTCCAATTCTCATTGTTAACAATTATTAAGATAATTTACTATAAAACATTCTATATATGTTAAATGACAATTTATTGCAATGAAAATTTACATTAGCTAAATCATAATCATGCACATCGTTTCATATCTTCACCCAAGTCTGAAATTAATATCTAAGCATATATGTAAACAATATAGTATCACAAAAAACTATATTAAGGGAGTAGGGTTAATGTCAAAATAATTATCTTACTTTTCCCGATGTGGTTTTGTCTGAATTATCTTTCTTTCTTATAAATTTATTTTCGTTTGAATTATTTTAAAAGAAAAAATTTGAACAGTTACCATTTAAAGCCACTTTACTGTCAAAACCAACAACAATCCACTAATTTATGTCAAGGCACTTCCATATTGATATTGACCGATTTGTTCGTTTCACTTGCCTGGTAAGAGAATATATTCTATGTTTTAAGTTTTACCAAATATACACGCAATCTCAATAAGTAAATATACTATTTTACTAAATATAAACTTTTGCTAAATTGCAACACTTTCCATAAAATAATATGATCTCTCTCTATGGCTTATGTAATTTGGACAATTTTATGTTTCAATATTTTAGGAGATGACATATTCATACAACATCATAACAAAAAATGCCATTTATGTAGACTTTTACGTTATAACTTTATATATCTACTTGAGCATTTTTCCTTAAAATTATATGAAATAGGAAACCTGGAAAGTCAAACAGTTAGTTGCAAACATAAAGTCGCATAATCTTCCCCATAAAAAAATTGAAAAACGTGAAAATTGATTATTATTGCACACCTTATAAATACTGACTTGATGGTTTCTTTTCAAAAAACTTTAAAATATTTTTCAAGTATCATTATCGTTTCTGAGAGAATTCATAAGAAGATGACTAACACAAACGAAAAAAAATTCGATGAAAATGGCTTGTTGATCATCAATCCCCCACCATTGGTAATGAGATTTGGTGTCGTGGAACCAAACTCACCACCTTCACCAACAGATTCCGAGATAGAGCAAGAAGAATTATGGGAACAAATTCACTTATTCACCGCATCAAACCAGAAAGCCAAACAGAACACTCCTCAGGTAATACATCCTATTTACTAAAGTTTGTTTTAATCATGTCTTACACAATGAATAATAAAATCTGTATATTCTACTTATGGAGGATGACAAAGGCAACACATCTAATGAGACACCCCAATCAATTTGCACAAAATGAAAACACGACCTGATTCTAGATCTGGAGATAGGGTTAAAGTGCATGCGTTGCGGTTTTGTGTAGACAGAAATTCGACACATGGATACCGCCGAATGGGTACGTGATCAGAAATACATTTAGATCTAAATTATGAAAAATTGTCTAAAATCTATGTTATTGAGTCGTTATAGTTTGTTATTGATTGCCCATTGAAATCTATATTGTAGAAACAATCCATATTTATATATAATATTGAGTTAGTTCAAAGCTATATAGTTTTACAAAAATCTAAATCGGATTGTTTGTGTCTGTGTTTAAAGGGAAAGGAGAAAGAACGAAAAAAGAGGAGATCTGGAGTTTAATCAAGAAGAATATCAGTTTGAAACGAAATTCATGTTTTTTTTTTTCTGTTTGTAATGATCACTTTAAAGACACTATTATGTACTTGGTTTTATTTTCTAAAAACTATTAAGTTTATTTCGATGACATGATAGTTTGGTTTTGAAGCATTCTCGATGAAATGTTAATAGATGCCCAATAATATACTACAATTAAACTTTGGTTAAAATATGTTATCGAATAGAGTTTGTCACTGGATTATCCGACTATAGTTAAAAATCAGAGATCAAACCATTAATACATGAGATCCAATTTAGTGAAAAATCAAAAAAAGTTAAATCTATTAAAAACTATAAAACCGAATGTAATGGTCTTATACAATAAAAAGAACTAACATATTTCGAGATACATAGAGACAACATATCACAAAACAAAACACAGTAAAAAGAAATATCATATCTTGTCAAAAACCTCCTTGTAGACGACATTCAATGTTTTGTTTTGTGGTTTGTTGTCTTTATCGGTGATCAATATCTTCAGACCTTCTCTTGATGTAACCCTCGATACAGCGACATAGAGTTGCCCATGAGTAAAAACCGGTCTTGGAAGATACAAACCAACCTTTTCGAGTGTCTGTCCTTGGCTTTTGTTTGTAGTCATTGCAAAAGCTAATGTGATAGGAGACTGCTTGCGTCTCATCCTGAAAGGAAGTTTCATCTCCGAAGGAGAGAGGAATATCCTAGGAATCAGTACCTTTTCACCAACCTTGCTACCTGTTATTATCTGAGCCTGGAGAACATAATTAGCTATCTTAATAATGATGAGTCTTGTGCCATTACACAACCCATTCTTAGGGTCGATATTTCTTAGAAGCATTACAGGAGTACCCTCTTTCAACTTCAGGACATGATTAGGGAAACCAGACATCTTGATACTATTTAAAAACTCCTCGGTATAAATCATGTTGTTGGAATCACCTTTATTCTTACTGGCTACACTCTCTGAGGGTACTTCAGATGCATCATTGTAATTGACAACTTCTTCAGTCGTATCAATGCTATCACAGCTAAGATAGGTCCTTTCAACACCTGTTATATACAAAACAACTGTCGTATTATATAAATATAAACAAATAAACTAAGAGGAATTAAAACAAAATAAACATACCCGATAACTTTGAAAGCATATAATCATTTATCGTATCTACATCATCGTTTCTTGGACTCAGTATGGCACGGTCTTGGAAAAATTTAGGATCAGTCTTTTTCGAAAACGAACTCCCATAAACTTCTTTGACGATCGTTTTTATAGGATCTTTACAGTCTTTAATCAACAGATCATCAGGAATTTCAATCACGGCTTCACCACTACCATCGTCATTTATCGTACCATCACCAATGTCTAATATCCACTTTGTAAAGGCAGCTCGTTCAAGCATCGCACGGCTATTATCTCCAGATATAAGTCGCATGTTCTGTGTAAGTCTCAACACTCTACATTTGTGCCACAGAGGTGACGAATTCAAAGTGGCCATAAGTATCTCTGTCTTCCCGGCATTTGGAATCACTGGCAATATTTTCCTAAAATCCCCTCCTAAAACAATGACCTTATCACCAAAGGGCTTATCGACTTCTAATATATCACGCATCGTTCTATCTAGAGTCTCGAAACAGTCTTTACTCATCATCAACGCCTCGTCCCATATAATGAGTTTAGCAATCCTTATCAGGTCGGCAAGATTCGACTCCTTCTTGATTGAACAGAAGGTAAACTTATTAACCACAATAGGGATTGCAAATCTTGAATGCGCAGTTCGGCCTCCTTCTAATAACAACGCAGCAATCCCGCTCGATGCAACCTTGAGAACAACATCACCTTGGGAACGTAGAGCAGATCCTAATAGACTCCACAAATAAGTTTTACCAGTACCTCCAGAACCATAAACAAAGAACATACCTCCTTTGTTCTTATTTACTGCTTCTAGTATCTCATCATAAACACTTCTCTGTTCACTTGTTACAGTGGCTAACATCTGCTCGTTTCTTACTCTAAGAGTTTCACGATTGTAATTCCTCCCATCCCGAATAAGAGGATTATCACGTGACTCCAGAGTAATATCTTCAGGAAACGGCATAGGTGTGAATTCTTTTAAGGATCTCCCACTTACACGTAAAAGAAGTTCTATTTCGACCAGAGTAAAGTCTTTAACTTGCTCCTGAGATAGACTAACAGCTACAAAATTTCAAAAAATTTACAAAAGATAAATTAGCTATCAATATCTTAAAGATATATAATAACAACAGCACAAACAATAACTATACGACTTACTTTGATCCCTGGCAGCTTTTCTGTAATTATATATGATGTCATCTGATAATACCTGCCACGTAGCATCCCAAACTCTAGAAGGAATGGATATACTTTGAGTAGTGAGCAGAATCACAAAAAGACGACGGAGATAATTGGCAGAAAGCCACAAGCCGCCCTCATTGATGGCCTCAATATATTCTTTGTCATCATTCAATAATCCATACGCATAGCAAGCGTCTTTGAACGAAGAATGTAGAACTTTGTTGACCGTTTTTATATCATCAAAACTACGTGGTCCTTTGACCAAATTAAGCAGAAGCCTTAAATAATACGCTTCACCTGCCCCAATGGGTACGTACGTGATTCTACCAAGAGCAACTCTCCTTGATCGTGGCGTCCATATTCTCTTTGTGTTATTCCACACAAATCTCGTAGGAAATTGCGCATAAGTTAACGTCCTCGCCAATTCATACATATCATTGCACTCCATCCAAGCAATGAATTTTGACGTACCAACTGAGACACGATTAATAACCTCGTCACCTGGATCATCCTTGTTGTATATGACTATTTGCTGATTCGGTAAATGAAAGGGTAGTTTAACTACAGAAACCGTGCGATGGTGAGTAGGATTACGGAAAATTCTCCACGTAGACTCTGAAGGTGCTACATACCTACATAGAAAGACATTATTAAATAATGGAAGATTGGAATTTCAAAGATATAAAATATGTAAACAAAATGTTTAAAACATACCTACAATTGAAGTGTTTCTTAATCTCGTTTTCTTTATCATACAGTTGCACGAATGTAGTCAGCACCTTTATGAATATATTTGAATAGATACTTTACTGATCGAGATTGTACACACCATTCGACGTTGATATGAGCCCTATAAAGCAATGTGAGACTCCTATTATAAGGAACCACAAATCCATTATCACATTCAATACCTTTTTTAACGATAACTTTCTTGTCATTACGTCGCCTGTATATAGGATATCCAACATCATCTATTTTAGTGATCGGACTGTAAGGTTTTGGAAAATACTTTGTATATTTTCCTTCAGCCATGCAAACACTATCCTTATTCAAAGCACCACATGGACCATGCATCATAACATCTCCTACTATCTCATACAGCGCTGGATCAATATCCTTGTCAGAAATCTCAGCACATATTATCTTATCAATGTCATCACCAGTTGGTAGCTTGTGACCAGCTTCTAAAAAAAGAACGATGTGTGCATGAGGTAGCCCCCGTTTTTGAAACTCAATCGTGTAGATCGCTGCAACGAATAAATGGTAGTTTTTAAAAGATTAGTTAGCATGATCATCTAGCAATGTTATGGACATTATATTGCTAAACGAAATAAGATACTTAGTTTAATAAAACATACTGGCTTTTACGACACCTAACACATTTTCTTTGGTGAGCCTGTGCATGAGATCATCTAGTTTCATCTTGAACACTCGCGTACATATATCTGGTCTATCCTCTTGCTTCAAGTTATGTCTTTTCAGGTGCCTGGTAATCTCAGGCCATTTGGGATTACACGTAAAGGTTATGAAAAGATCTGGAAAACCAAAATGCTGGCAAGTAGTCATCACATCTAGATAGTGTTGCACCATATACCTTGTACCACCAGTATAAGAAGAAGGTATAATAATACGTTTACCCTTGTCAGAAAGATCAGTGTCACCTCCATCAACAGTTTTCTTTATTTTATCATAATTTTCGCAACGAAGTTTAGACTGATTCATTGATATGAAACGTAGTCTATTAGTCTCAATCATCATGTACGCATCCACTAAAAACTGCTGGAACAATCTTCCAGATAAAGGGATGATTGGTGACTCACCAACCCTCTCTTGTATGCGGTAAGCAAAAAATTCTCTCATAGTAATTTGCAACCTTTTCCTTCCTTGAGTATCTACAAAACCAATATCGATACCAAGTCTGAATCCGTCCTCACCATAGGGAAACAATAATGGATATTGCAAAGGCAGATACGCAGGATGTAGTTCACTGATCCTTTTGAGATTCCCAGTCTTTTTACACTCGATGATGATATCACGTGCATCTACCTCACCATTGAAATCATTAGGTATCAATGCAGCAACTTCATTAGTAGCTGGTAGATTTTCAGTCCTTCCATCGCTTTTCCAGTCACACTTTAAAATTATCCTTAACCGGCTTGTATCATCGTTAGGATCAAACCTTTCTCGAACGTTTCGTAATGCATCCACATGTTTGTTATGCTTATCTAGCATATTTTTTATTTTCTCAACAACCCTCACTCGCAATTTATCAGCCGGTCCCGTTTTCCTGTAAAATTTTTAAAATAAATTCTTATAAGAGTTAGAACCATATAACATTTAATAACAATACATATATGTTTTGAAATTGATCTCAATGATTAAATTTAATATAAACCAAAAGAATAATAATCATACCCACAAGCAGCTATTCAGTTAGATGTTTCATTTGCGGTATCATATATATATAGCTGTAAAAAAGCTGGTTCTTTTCCAGGAGGTGGTAGCAACTCCCCTATAGAATGGTAGTTCTCCCCACTCATTTGGAAAATGTAAAGACCTTTCCCGTCGTTAATTTCTTTATTTATTTTTCCTCCAAGAGAAGTGAAAGAAAACATCATATTATACGCCCGGATAAACTCACGAAAGTGATCACGCAAATCACCATCATTATACATCAATACTAATAAGGATTTCGGAGGGGTTTTAAGAAGTGGAAGAACGACTTTACCCTGACCACAACACATGGAGAATATAGGCTTCCCACGACGATATCGTTTACCCAACCTCTCTCCATACCACATATAAGCCTTACAATTACCACATATATATATAGGATCACCATCGTCGTAATAACCTAATTAAAATAATATTCATTGCTTAGTGTTAATTACACAGTAGTTATATATTATGTATTGAATGAAATATATTAGTACAATGAAAATCATAACCTCCATCTTTCAGACCAGGACTAACTGATTCCAATAAATCTGTTCTAGTAACAACGGTCTCGGTCGCACCCCCATCACAAAATTCAGAGGTTTTAGCACGTTTTTTGGGTCTTCCTTTCTTTTTATTACCAGGCCTCGATTTTCCCACATCCTCACTTTCCGACATAGAGTCTTCATCATTATCCATATCGGACTCAGAATCAGTAGCAACAAAGCAAGCAAACTCTTCGGTGTTGATAGAAGTAGCCAAAAGATCTGTTTGTTTTTTTTACCGAAAAAATAATAAATGAAAATCAGGCATATAATTATTAATAAACATTGTAATTACGAAAAAGAAGATCAAACCAATAGCTTCTTTTCTTTTTCTCCTCTCACGCATGATATGCATTCGTCTCTGCTGTGCATTACGAATTCCCGAGGGTGTTAGATCAGGAACTTCATTGATATTGTAACCGAACAAACCTCCATTCTGGTCTATATCGGTTACACTGGTTGGAGCATATCGTGCGTTCTTAGCATTACCACCTACAAATTACAATTAATAGTAAACAACTTTATAACACGTAAATGTCTTAAAAATGTAATTTACTTAAAAAAGCACCTTTATTTGGAGCAATCGACGAAGATGAACCTTTTTTCTGAGGACGCCCAAGCTTACGTTTCATTTTTTCTGGTGAACAGCACGAACAAAAAAAATATACACAATCATTAACAAACTATATATATGAAATATTATATTGCGCGATAATGCAAAATATACATTTTAGCTTCTCATAATAAATTAAGATTTAGGTAATAAAAAGGATTTCGAAATAGAAAACCGCACGATAATGTTAACATTACTTATTCTTCGCGATAATATGCCTATCTTCTCTAATATCGAAAATTTACATTTTTCGTGATAATGTTAAAATAATATTGAAATACTTCTACATTACAACAAATATATTAGAAATTGAATATTCTCCCAAAAATATGGTTATTTAACAGATCATCCAATAAATTATATCACATATTTTTTTTTTCCAGTGGACAATTATACTACAATTCGTTACGCAAGCGTTTTGGGGATAACTATGAACATCGAAATCCATACATGAAAATAATAATTAAAAAATCTTATTTTCATACACTGCGTCAAAAGTCAAATTTTATTCAAATCACATACGATGTTTAACACAAACCACAAAACCTAAAAATAAAAATTGATATAAAATAATTCCTAAAACATTAGCACGGAACTCGTAACATCAGAGTTTAACGACTGGATATCAACTCTCGAAACTGATAGACCTCGAAGCATGGCGAATTTAGAATAACTTGTGTGCAATCATACGACGTTGTTGCCAAGAAACATCCTATATTATCGAAGAAACAAAAAATCAAATCATATTTATCGCATATACTTTACAACCATCTCATATAAAAAAAAAAAAAATATACCTCGTCGAACAATTATCTTCGCAAAACGAATGATGCAAATAATGACATCTTGTTTACATCGACCCAACTCACGAAGAAAAGTTTCAGCATAATCACCTTTCAAAAAACATGATAAACGTCGGTTCCTAAAGTTTCCCATCAAACAAATAACAGTCTGAGTTAAACTTAAAAATTCGTTTTTAAAATTCTATTAACATAAAATAGATTACCTTTCGTTTTCGAGATCAAATCTTATTATAGGCTGTCTAGAGTATCCTAAGGATCCAATTCTGTCGTGAGAGTTTTCAACGTTGACAACCTTACCGATTAGATCTGTTTTTAAAAAAAAATGAATATCAAATAATCAATATAGCAACTGCATGAGAAATCGGTAATGAAAAATACACAGAATACTCACCCACACAGTAGTTAAAATCAATAGTCCCATTCATAACATCTTCGAAAACAACGAACGAAAAATAACCATTGATATCTAAAGTATAAGAACTTGCACATGTTGTATCACTGGTAAGTTGAATCATATAAGGATGTGTACTTGGCTTAAATTCACCAGTAAGAGGCAATATATTAAAATCTATTAGAAGAACTCAATCACCCTCGTTACATATCCTCGAATACTTATCATAAAATTCAATCGGTGTAGTTACATAAATCTTCTGTCCCTGAGAAGTATGGAATAAAACATTCAGACATTTATCATTACAAAAACTAAAATATAATGATGAAATTGATGTGTTATACCTTCCAGTCCCCCATTATAAAGTCTAACGTGCGGTCACATTCAGGAAATCTTTTAAATTTACGTAAGACTTTCAACTTAGTCTTCCATATACGTTTGGTAGGATCGAGTTCGGAAATTCCAAACAGATTTTGATCATATTTTTTATACACGGCGGCGATAGATAGTAAATAAGCCATTCAGGTTAAACGCAAACCCAAAGCCTCAAAACAACTACAACGATTACGTCCAAAGATAACTTAAATAAACATAGCAGAGACAATACTTAAACCAAACATCTGTTTCCTATTTATATAATTTAAAATAAAAGGATATATCGAATTTTTGCATTTTTGAGATACTTTAATGCTTATTTTACATTTTTAGGATAACATAGGACCTTGATAGAAAATTTATCACGATCACAGGGATACCGTTTCCGATTTGTATTAGGGATCTATTATAATATACTATTATAATTATAACAATTTTCCAATTGATATTAGGAATATATCGTTATATATAAAAACGACGTATTAGCATTACCGAGTTATATATGACGACTACTTTTAGGTTTTATAGGCATTACATCATATCGATCGCTGCTTGTCTTTTAGCAATGAAAAATATGACTTACACCAATGTCTCCGATATAACTCCATCAATTCAACTACGCCGTATTCGTGTGAAAATACTGCGTATGTTCGAGCACATCGGTGAACCTGATAACACTTTAGATTTGGTGTTGGTTGATAAAAAGGTATTCCGGTGACTTTATATTTTTCGTGCATATCACGTCTCTGATATACATATTTTTATTTTTTTAGGGTGATAAAATACATGGATCAATATCAAAAGGGTTTATAGACAGTTTTACATCAGAAGTAAAGCAAGGAGATTCAATTATTCTGTACCGTTTTGGTGTAGTCCCTGTCATCGGAGACTTGAGGCCGACGTTGCACAATTATAAAATAATATGGAATTCTCAAACTTATTTTTCAAAGATCCCTTTCTATGATAACAACAACTACCTAAGTATCGTTGAATTTGGTAACATACACAACAATCTCCGAGACCCATTGTTTTTCGTTGGTATGACTTTAGATAAATTAATAAATAATAACAAAAAATATATGCTATTTTATATCTATAAACTTTCTCAATGACTAACTAATCTTTTTATTAGATATAATTGGACACGTCGTGGTGATTGGAACATTTAGTCACAAATCCTCCAAGAGCCAAAGAAAGTGGGGTAATATTTACGTGGAACTCCGTAACAAATCGTAAGTTTTTTAAATATGTTTCTCAATTGCAATCACTGTAATTATCAATTTTTACTACATTATATGATTATTATATGTCCAACAGAGATGTTAGATTGCAAGTGTTATTACGGAACGACTATGCACTGGACCTGATGACTGCTTTATCACGGAAAAAACACAAAATTAACATTTGTGTTATACGTTTCGTGCAACTGTTCAAATTTGCACATGCTTGGGCTGCGATAACTGCATACGATTGTACCGAAATTTTAATAAACCCTAACCTACCAGAAGTCGAGAGAATGCGGACCACAATCACGGAATCAGACAATGGTGTTATATTAAACTTTTGAATAGTTTCTTTTTTGCGCATGTTTTATTTTCTCTTTTTTTCTATATGTTTTTATCATTTGATTCAATAAACGATGGTACTATATTAAAAATCTCCTCATAATTTCTATTCGTATACATTGCTTTTTTCAATTTCTAAAATATATGTTTATTATATATATACATATTTATTCTCCTAGTAAAATATTATAATACTTTTAAATCAACAAAAGTGTCAATGGACTAAGAACATAGTATTGCATTGAAAACAAAAAGTGTCATTCTTTGTAAATATAAAAAAAAAACGCTAAAATGAGATATTTTACGAAACAGATGAAGTTTATAGATGAAGTTTATAGATATTGAATATTTTATGTATTACAATAAAAATAAAAAATAGCTATGTTCTTCAAATACATGACCTATAAAAAACGAAATAAAAATTTAGTATTTCCTACGGAAACTGTTCTTCATATTCATCATCCAAAGGGGTAAAATCAACTGCAGTTTCAAGCCTCATCTTTGCTATTGCCACTTCTGGAGTAGGAGGATCCTCGAGAATATCAGATATGAATCTTTCCGATTCAACTATCCACTCATCTAATAACATATACATATTCAGTATGCATGTGGAAACAATAAATCTGTTAAACTTCTGATTAATTGCCATATTGAATAGATATTAATAGTTAATATTTACGTACCCCTCCACCTATTGAAAGAGAAAAATCGCAATACAATACTATGCCTTGAAGATTTATCACGATTCGTCCAAAGTTCTTCAAATTTCGTTGCCAAGTTATCCCAAGCAATACATTTCAAAGAATTTCCACTGTAGATATTTACACCAACATAGAAGATAATTAACATATTTTAATATATAAAGAAATCCAAGTCTGACATCAGATATTATGAGGAAAAGTTGTACTTACTCAAGATCTTCGAGTACAAAACGAATAAGTGGACGTTCTGTGGGTCTATCCGATGTATCAGACATATGAACTCCACTTTGAAGTTTCTGAACAAAAGTGACAATCCCGAGAACATCAACTGCAAAATTAAACAACTAAGTTTAAAAAAATCATTTATAAGTTAATGAGATAAACCAAGATAATAACATGCATATAGGAAACTTACCAAGATATCGGTCAGTTTGAATCAACGCAAGCAAAATATCTATGTATGCACAGAAAGAGTATATTTCTCTGGAAGACTTCGGATCGGTTTTTTCAGTGATTGTATCCTCGTTCAAACGTATATGACAGTTGTTTGATGATATGCTTGGATGAGGTAATCTGTCAGTAACTGCAAAATTACCAAGAAAATACCACTCTCCTTCGAGCAATACATCCTCAAATTTGTTAATTATTTCGGATGGCATGGTACAGAGGATGCGATTGTCCTACACAGTTTTAGTAAAAAAGAATCAATAAACGATTACATTCCCAAAACATGAACATGGATAATCTTTAAAAATCTTACAAACTTACAAATTCATCAGCGAGAACTAACTTCCGATGAGGGTAATGCATGTTAGTGAAATCATAATAATTTCGAACAACTTGGACACAAATACGTTGCCCGCCGTTTATCTTCTGAAGTTCAGAAACTCTATTACATGGAGCCATTCGTTTTTCTTTTTTTTTGGTTTGGAGATGAAAAATGAGACAAATGAACGTTTCTTTTTATAAGACGGAGACAATGAACGGTTATGTTTTAAACGGCGTGTTTAAAATACTTTAGAAATGACGGTTATGCTTTTAAAGGCGGGTTTTATATACTTAAGGAAGGATTCATCAAAACTAATAAAATTAAATGACAATTTCTAACTAAAATTAACTATTTTTGTTAATAAAAAAATACGATAAATATATATAAGATCCATTTTTCACATAAAAGTTTATTTTATTATTTTATGATAAGGTAAATGTCCCTTCGGAGTTACAACGGATCAAATGATGATATATTCGTTGGAAATATTCCAAAAATAACCTAGGGTTGATCCGTGAGACGAAAGAAAAGAAAAACATCAATTCATAAACATTATAAATATAACATAATTTCAACTCGGAAACCATGTTTTATTTTTTCTTATGATGGTAAACTATAGGAGACATTTTGATAAAAAATACGATATTAAAATAAACCTTAGTAATTTCATTAATTATAACGAAAACGTTTTGGGACTAAACCCTAAACCCTAAACCCTAAAAAATAACTTAAAATCCTAATGCTTAACTTATGAAATTTATAAATTGGCTAGTCCCATCGCATAATATGCATCCTTGAAGGTAGGATACACGATACCAGCAACAGTCCTAATATCCTCATAAGAACATGGGCCCTTTATAACAGCCAACAAAATCCTGAGATAATAAGCCTCGTCAGATCCATCCGAACAATCTGCTATAACACTGACTCCAGGGTCACCAACGACACGTCGTCTCCATAACTTTTGCCTACGATCCCAAACAAATTGACTTGGAATTTCTGAATACGTAAGCATCCTAGCCTCCGGGTATTTTTTGTTGCAGTTCATCCAAGCCGTGAATTTAGATGTTCGATTAGGACCAAGATTCTCGCCTTCATCAGTCATCACAATCTCAGATTCAGGAAGATGGAAAGGCAAAACGTTTAGACGAACACTTCCACGTGTATTTGCACCTACGAAACGTAATTAGATCTAAGTTACAAACCAATATAAATACGAAAACAGAACTTAATAAACACAAAACGATATAAAGTTGGATGTATAGTATACGATATCAAATTGGATGTATAGTATATATCGCACCTGATGAGTTCATTATAGAGGTATAAAGAAAAAGTACACAGCAAAGAATAGAATAAACCACGATATGACACTACATCTATACATAACCGAGTATTCTAGGGTTTTATTATAATGTTGACATTTTTTCTATTGGAAATTTGACATTTTTCTTTTTATTTGATAAATATTTGACATTTTTGTTTTATTTCATAAATATATGCACACGTAAATATAACAGAATAAATCTCCTATAGAATCTTCGAGAATCATTAAAACTGAATATATAATTAATTTGTTACATATACTGGATACTTATTCGTACAAATATTATCATCGTAATATATATATATCACGATAATTATTTAACTATATCGTGATATATATACATTTTATTAATTTTGATAATTACAACAAAAAAAAAGGACAGAGTTTAGATTTATATGAATCGAGTCGGAATAGAATCAGTTTTCAAAGTCACGACAGTTTCCAGGACGTTACGTATATGTGTTCAAGGATAAACCTAAATCACAAAACAACGCTTCAAAAGGTTTATTGATTATAACCCACTATCATATCTAAAAGAATAATAAATGAATTATTGACATAATATCAACTTGATAAGCATAACAAAATAAATGCGATAAAAAATGATTTACAGACTGGATGTGAATATGCGATACATGCGATGATTGTAAACATAAAATTGAATAGAAACAAATCAATTTTATAAAAGAAAAATAACTCTTTCAAATTGAACTCTTTCAAATTAAATAAAATTAAGTAAACATAAAATCTAAATCATTAATATTCTCAATAAAAAGGTTCTACCAAAACTCAAAAACATAAAATTTAAGATAATATAATAGCGAAAGCATTATCAGTAAACATCCTATGACATAGAGTTCTTCTTCCTTCTAGATACAGATGTTTTGGGAGGAGTAGGAATGACGTCAGGATCCTCACGATCTCTTTTAGAACCCACATGAGCTGTCTTCTCGAGTGTGACATTTGTATTTAGTTTAACAATGTCATTAGGAGCATCACAGTCACTTTTAGAAGATGCAGGTACAATCTTCTCGATAGAATCTTCTGCATTTACATCGACATTGACATGAGGATCATCACAATAACTTTTAGAACAGGCAGGCAGAGTTTTCTCAACATGTGATCCTCTATCTTCATCGACGAAGGTTTCCAAAAAGGGAGGCTAAAAAAAAAAGAAAACATATCAAATAAGTAATCCGTTATGCATAGTTATATATCCAAATATCCAGACAAAATAAGAATCAAAAGCATACCTCAGAATAGACCTGACTACAGAACGTCTGAATCATGTAGTCATCAGATGTAAACCGGTCAACCGAAAACGAATTCTTAACCTTTTTGACATTATCTTCAGTTACAACAACCTTAAAAAGGAACTCTTTTCCTTCTAGATCACGCAGTGATTGAGGTAGTCCAGACGAATTATCCTACAAAATATATTACAAAAGTATTTTAATTGAGGTATATAATCATAACGCTTATCAAATAAAACGATAAGTGTACCCCAACAGACTCTTCGAAAACTTCCTCGGCAGTCTTCTTAAACAATTTTTGAGCAATTTTGTCAAACACGACAAAGACTGCCATCCCTCCAAAACCATCGTCCACGTTCAACAACAGAAAGAAACTGTAAAAGAATAATTAGACAATTAATTTTATAAATATAAAAAATATAAGACGTAAAGATTAGAAAGTATGTGGACGCCGAAATCAAAGAATAGAGATTGACTACCTAGCAACAACTTCAGACTCATAAACATTACTATTGCAATTAATGCATTTCCAAGACGGCGGCGAAGGAACATAGTCTCTCTCGGGTATAGGATGAACCTTTTTTTCACACTTCTTGCATGCTATGTAATACCACGAATTACTATTGGCAACCGAGCGTATAGTCGCCAATGTCACATACTTACCAACCTTCTTAGTCGAGATAATCAACGACAACCACCGATATACAAAATTTTTTTATAAATATAAATAATAGAGTATCGCATATTCACATACCGTATCGATCGAATGTATAGAACTTAACTTTCGCCTAATATTAGTTCCCAAAAATTCATTGTTTAATGAATCTTTAGAATCTACACCCGAATCATCTTCATTAGGAATGAGAATATACTTATCTTGAGGCAACCTAAACGGAAAAAACAAAGAAACTAATTATAGTAGAACGAACATACGTACAAATAAAACCGTACTATAATTCCATTGAATAAATCCTTACTCAGATCGGAATTTCACCACAAGAGGACAAACTGGATCAAACAAAATCTGAGTTGTAATAAAAGCATTTGAGACGCTCATCTAACCTAAAAAGTGTAAATAAATCGATGTATCAGAAACATATATAATCTATAATAAAACTCTTCATAATTGTCACTAAAATTGAATCAGTATAAATCATTAAGTAATATACCTAGATAGTTTTTGATACACGCAAACCTTATAATAACCACAACGACGGATGCGCAATTTCGTTTAACATAATCAGCAACTTCTTTTGCGTAATCAGCCCAAAGAGTACATGGTAATTGTAGATCGCTATTATAATTAATAAATAATCATGAGTTAAATCATATAACTAAAAAATAACACAAAATAAAATAAATTATTAAATTAGAACTAAGTATGTTACCTCTCATCCCTAAGATAAATCTTAAGTCTAGAACGACGTTTTCTTTGAGCCATAACGTCCTCGACATGACCAACTCTTACGATTTGTCCGACCACGTCTTAGAGTTTGTAATAAAATAGGACGAAACGAAAGAACCAAAACAATTACCGTGTCATAAAAAATACCGTGTCATAAAAATATTTTTAAAAATATGCGTCTCAGTTTAGATATGTTACCGATCAAGTAGCCATTGTCCAAATCAGTTGATAAAATATCTGGAAAACTTTTCATATATTTCTCAGGAACGTCTTGAGGAAAATCCAAGCATACAGAGACAGTCGTAGTTGCATAGAACACTATCTTGAAAGGCGTTCGTGTAGTTCGATACTCAGAATTATACTCAACAACCTTAAAAGTATTGATAAGCACCGATCTCCCCTCGATCAAATCTTTACGAAAAGATTTAGCAAAAAACCTTTCAACAGTTGCTTGTATCCTATCACCCTAAGATCCAAAGGACAATAATAAAAAAATTAACCAACAAATAATTGGCTAACCGAGATATTCATAAATTATAGGACTAACCTCTTGGTCAACCAAGACCATCTCAAGTGAACACCCCCCTCTACCTTTGAATCCATCCCAAATCTTGAGGATATTAACTTTGATAACAAAGTTATCAGAGCCAGGACGTAGATCCCTAACGAAAACATTAGATGCTGATTTTCTTTTAAAAATCGACATAGTTTAGACCAGACGATATTATAACAAAGAGAAAAGTTTGGGAGAGATCAAGACGAAGAATGGGTATCTATATATATATATAGTAGGAGACATGATATATATATATATGTAAATTAGAATTAGTTCGGATATGGTTTATAACTTTTTTAGAATATACATATATCGCAACAAAAGGTAAAGACGATCAAATCTTCTATTTTTTTTATTTTAAAAATGTTAAAAACGATAAAATCTTCTAATTCTCTGTATAAAATAATAAAATAATACTCAGATAATATCGATTTAGATATACTTTAACGGAAAATTAACATAATGAAATTAAATTCAATTTAAAAAATGGCAAACATTAC